CGATCTCAGCATTTACACCAATTTTCTGCTCTTCATTTTTTCCTTGGCATTACATTTTATTCATTCATATAGTCTATTGTCTCTATTATTCCAATATAACATAAACTACATGAGTGTTTACGGCTATGGATCTAGCACACATAAATAATTTCTGGAAGAATAGTAGGTGTTTAACAATATTCATAGCATGACAAATAGACTGCTAGATTGGTTTAAGAAAATTTATAATGAATGATACTCTTTTCTCCAAAAGAAATCTCAGCCCCAAACCAGATTATGGATTAGGAGAGAGCATCAGGGGGCTCTGGTCTGCTGGTGATATCCTATTTCTTTTCTTTTCCTTTTTTTTTTTTTTTTTTGTGAGACAGAGTCTCAAGCTGTCACCCTGGGTAGAGTGTCATGGCATCACAGCTCACAGCAACCTCAAACTCTTTGGCTTAAGTGATTCTCTTGCCTCAGCCTCCCAAGTAGCTGGGACTATAGGTGCCCACCACAATACCTGGCTATTTTTGTTGTTGTTGCCATTGTTGTTTAGCTGGCCCAGGCCAGGTTCGAACCCGTCAGCCTTGGTGTATGTGGCCAGTCCCCTATCCACTGAGCTACAGGTGCTGCCCTGATATCCTATTTCTTGACTTGGGTGCTGGTATCGCAGTTGTGATCATTTTGCAACATTTCATGTAGTTATACATTTAAGATAGATGCACTTTTATGTGACTACTATATTTCAGCAAAATGTTTTTTAAAAAGTACAGATTTTGTGAGTAGCTCTTCTCTATACTTAGGAATCCCTGATATAGGGACCAATTTACTAGAAATATGTGATTAATGCATATTTATTTCACATATGCAAGTCATTTAATATCTTAGGTGAATCAGGCAAATAATTATATAAAATTCACATTTGATACCTTTCCTTCTTTCCTGGGTCATCAGCCTAGGTGCTAAAATTTCCCTCTTAGGGCCTGTAGTGCCAATAGTTGAGGCTGAAAAGGTTTGCACTGGATTCAGACAAACCAAAAAAGAACTGAGGAACCCTAGGTAGCTGTGACATGTGTGTTCTTTATTCAACTCGTGGCAGCCAATCAGCAGGCATGGGGACAGGCAGGCTAGCCTAGGTAGCTTCTTTTTTTCACCCCTGTAGGAAGTCTTCAGAGGCAGAAACCCTCAAAGTAACTGGGAATCAAGCACTATGATGGGTATTTAGGATAACATGGCACCTGCCAGCTTCATCACAAGTTAATTGAAACTATCCAGCACCTCATGGCCTCCAGGTGAGAAGCCTAACTTATCTCATCTTCCTCACAAGGCCCAATTTGGGATTCTACTTCATGAGTCTACTTCATGCTCTTATATCCCCTTTTTCTCCTTTTTTATTGATACTTTTCACATTGTCTAGACCCGTGGTTCTCAACCTTTCTAATACCGTGACCCTTCAATACAGTTCCTGTGGGTTGCAACCCACAGGTTGAGAAGCGCAGGTCTAGACCCTAAAAAAGAAATCCTACTATAGTAATGTACAGAAAGACATGATTACTGGTGACCATCAGCCTGCATGTTGAATCAGAAGTTTAAGCTAGTGTGAACTGCTGATTGGTGGACATCCACAAGCTGAGTGTGCTCAGCCTGCAGTTCTGGCCACTGGGAAAGGATTTGGTTGGGGGAGGAAAGTGAGCAGAGCTGGGTGATGAGCCTTTTGGTCATATTGAAATTGTAGAATTGAGGCACCTGATGTCTATGTATTTGACCGCATGTGTCTATGTATTTGACCACATATGTGTCTAGACACACTAACCACACACCCCATGCAGTGAACTGAAGCTGGGCTCATGACTCAGGGAACACAAACACTGCTGGGAAATCCCAGAACTGTCACCAGCATAAACTGCATTGTCCTCACACAACCTACAGCTGCACTGAATTTGGGCCTCTTTCCAACCCTTCTATAGAAGTTGTGTTTATGGAACACAAGTGGCAAAACATTAAAAAAAAAAACTCAAGCAAATTAAGTTAATTAATACTTATTTTGAAATAGTCATCCTTACCCGAAAAGTAATGGCAGCATCCGGGTTACCTTCTTCTCCAGATGGCTCTTCTTGACGTCTTGTCCTTTTCAAAGCTTCCATTTGACTGGAAAACAAAACAAAAAATAATTTAAAATAATATTCACAAGGACCAACTCCAATAACTTCCAGTGAGAAGTTAAGCAATCCTCATAAAGGATGATAGAGCCACAGAACATTCAACCAGAGAGTGACCAGGAAGATACTGAAAAAAGACACTGTGTCTTTTTTCACAGTGAAAAAATGAAAAGAACATTCAACCAGAGAGTGACCAGGAAGATACTGAAAAAAGACACAGTACACAGACACTGTGTACTGAAAAAAGTACACAGTGAGGAGCTGGATTAGAGCTCTTGTCACTTAACAGCTGTGTGACCTTCACGTAAAGTCCTTGCGTTTCAATTTTCTAGAACATAAAGAGAGCAGTACTGGAAACTTCTGCCTCAAAAAACATTTACTATGAAAAGCTAAATAAATTTGATTATTGTATTCAAAGTGTTTTCATAACCATCGTCATCACCCTCTCTCACGTCCAGTGGTCCCAAATTTGTCTGCTTATTAGAATAACTTAGAAACTCTTTCTAAAACATAAATTCCATAGCCCTTGAGATGCTGATTTAATATAATTTGGAGCTATAAAAAAATATCAGTATTTTATTTTAAAAAGACATCTTGACTGAATCTGATCTTGTAAAAAAAAAAGATCTTAAACAATTTCTTATAACTATGATGCTGAAAGTCAAAAAGAACTTTTTTAATGACACAGCCAGTAAGTTTCATGGTTAGAACTTAACATCTGGATTTTCTGTCTCCAAGTCCAGATGTTCTTCCCACTATATCAGGTGTTCTTTACACCGTGTCAGCGTTTCTCAACTTAAGAGTCTCGATGCTAAAGATTTATTTTAAGGGTGCAAGGGGATTCATAAGCACACGTTATTTGTTCAATCAGCAGTTTCTAAAAGTTCAGCCCCACTGCTCACTGACAAGGGAGCAAAATCCTCTTACTCACAAGACAGCTCTGCACTGGTAGCACTTGTTTTTGTAGAGCTTTCCATCAGCACCACGCACTGGGTCATTCTCCCGAGTACAGATGAGTTCATTGTTCCTCAGATACTTTCGAAAGCCACTGCACTCATCCTGGAAAAGGACAAAGGGGAAATGAACAGAGATCTTCCTTTTTACTGGGTGATTTTCTCAAACTTGGTTTTAGGAAGCCTTCTCTGGGCCCTGAGCTCAGTCTTATCACACTAATCCTAGCAGCAGAGGCCAAGGGACACTCAGATTGTGTAAACTTTGCATCCTCTGCTTCATTCTGAGCCTCTGCGTGAAAGGCAGCCTCTGTCCTGAAAATGTAGGAAAACATAGAACGACACTTCACGGGTTTCCTCTCTCCCTCTTCCTTTAATCCATCCTTCCTCTCATCCATTTTCCATCCATACAAGGTGCTCTTGACCAAAGGACAATCTCACAAGAATCTAACCCCCAAAATGTGATTATATTTCTGTTAAAAAACTGAATGAAGATGCCTTCTGTGCAGACTTGAAGAACAAATAAAAAAGACAGCATCACGAACACACACTATCAATTTGTTGATGCTGAGAAAATCATCCGGAGAAAAAAGCAAACAAAACATCAAAGAGAGAAGCCAAAGGGAAGCTTGCGATTAGTTTGTATTACGTGAATTATTAAAACCTATGTTTGCAAGCTGCCAGAAGCCTCATCTAACCCTTAAAGTGTCAGAAACAGGATTTCCGTCGAGGTGGTAAAAAGTTGTGCCCCCTATGTTTCATTTCATATTTCTCCCAAAGAGGAAAGACTAAAGCAATAACTGACACACACTTTAGGAGAATTCCCTACAAAATCAAGAAAAGCATCAAACTCCAAAGCCAGAAGAAAAAGAAAAAAATCTTATCATGACCACCCCATATGACCATATTGGCAAAATCAATTTTCTCTGAAGTAAAAGATTAGTGTCTTCATCATCCAAAAACAGAAGAAGTGTACAAGATTTTAGAGGTGAAAAGTAAAATAATTATTTTAGTATTCTTTATGAAAAAAACCTTTGCATTATTTGAGGGCTCAGCTTTTGATTTATCTTCATCATCCTTTTTTCTTTCATTAGCTTCTCGCTCACTGTAGAATAAAAAAGAATAGAATAAGTTTGCTAGGGTTGTTACCAAACTGTCTTTAATCAAGCGTTTATCCAATTCTAAATATTTGAAAATCTAATACTATATTCTATATTCTCATACCTAAAAAAAAAAAAAAAACTAAAAGTACTTTTTTCTACTGATCAGCTCTGATTGTTGAAATTTTCTTAATTAAATCTTTGTAGCAATGCAACTAATGGTTATCGATTCAGTTACTATACTCTTATCCAGAGTGAATGATTGTAAAAGGCCATTTTTTTCCTTAATAGAATATTTTTGTAGCTATCATATAGAGAGTTACTTCATTTCTCATTTTTACTTTTCTGACTAAATTAAACTTTTATTCTTTACATAGTTACAGTGCGTATAAGTTTATAAACATTTTAAAAACTATGAGCTCCTTGAATCCCTATAGATCCCATATATCCCATATATCCCTATATATGAGGAACTGAGGCTTTGCAAAGTGCCCTGGGCTGACCCGGATTACTTAGCCAATAAGCTTCCTCTTTAAAAGTCAATGATTTTGTTACTACAAAGCAACTCTCTGTCTACCCCAGAGACTCAAGTTATGATTATTTTTCTTATCATCAAAATAAAAAATTATTATGAAAAATAGTGTTTGGAAACTGTCCTCTTGAAAAGTGGGGAACTAATATATCTTTATTGCTATTTTTTTTTTTTTTTTTTGAGACAGAGCCTCAAGCTGTCCCCCTGGGTAGAGTGCCGTGGCATTACAGCTCACAGCAACCTCCAACTCCTGGGCTCAAGCGAGTCTCCTGCCTCCGCCTCCCAAGTAGCTGGGACCACAGGCGCCCACCACAACGCCCGGCTATTTTTTGGTTGCAGCCGTCATTGTTGTTTGGCGGGTCTGGGCTGGGGATTCGAACCCACCACCTTAGGTGTACGTGGCTGGCGCCTTAGCTGGTTGAGCTATAGGCGCCGAGCCACTAATATATCTTTAACGTGTGATGCTAAATACCTCAGGTTTTAAAAGTAACAGAAACTATTTTCTGGCAAACAGGCACAATTATCAAACACATCGATAAACTCTTTACGTACAAGATGCTGAGGCACATAGCACACTTGTTGACATACATCCTGCCGTTCGCGTCTCGAACAGGGCTGTTGTCCCTGGTGCAGACAAGCTTCCCCTCTCTCTGTTTGCTCCGGAATTCATGACACTGATCCTGCCAATAAGAGTGCAAAAAAGATGTCTCCATAATACTGATTTTTAAAGCCTGAAAACATGACTAGTTGATTAGATATGAACTCACAACATTTGATAGAAAAAAATAGAGAAAATGAAATTTCAGAGATGGAATATGTTTTAAAGGCACTTTATTCAATCTCTGCCTTAGAAGTCTGGGTCCTCTCCATAGCATCCCTCTCAAATGACTGCCTCCCTGCCTTAGTGGGAATTTCCTACTGCCTAAGATAATTACAGTTTTATATACTTCTGTGAAACTGAGCCCAAACCTATCTCCCTGAAATTGTACTCCTTATTCCACACATAAAAAGTCTTAATTCAAATGTCCTGGAATACTTTTCTGGTAAGACCCACAAACGTAAACTTTCAGCTTTGTTCCTCAACAACAATTGAAATTTTTTTTTATTGAGTCATGTACACATAGATCATGAATACATTTATGCCTCTGTGGGATTTGATGTGTTATTTGTACAAACTGGAGTGCTTACATTCTACTCGAAATTTTTTTTTTTTATCAGGCCAGGCACTTTGTTGTTTGTTTCTAATGGATTTCTTTTATTGTGCATAAAAATAATATAAGATAAATGTTTATTATCTTCACTTTACAGATAAGAAAAGTAAGTCTCAGTGATATTAAGTCAACATTAGATTTGTGATCAGAAATTTGCTAACAAGCAGGCTATATTTTTTTGCTTCTTTGTTTTCATATACCAGAGAATGAAATGCCTATCCATTTATAAGAAATGGAGCTGCCTTTTTATTCATTGAAAAATACCTTTAGAAAGGAGCTAATAGAACTGAGACCACAGAATCAGGCCTCTGTTAAAAATCTTTAAAGATCCACAGAAGTCTCTTGAACTTTCTTTCAGCCCAAAGAGCCAAAGTAGAAATATGGGGAACATTACCTTAAAAAATACCACTAGTAACCTAGATTGTATTTACTCTCCTTTTAAAAAATTGTGATGTCCATAAATAATTCCAGGTGTACTTTTATCTGCAGCATTTAAAAAATGCTCTGGAAGTGAATATCTGATCAATATGTTAAACACCTCACAACCATCATTTTCATAGATAACTACAATCATTCCCATTTCCAGGTGTGCACAATACCACATATGTTTATATAACACACATCTACCCATATTGCAACCCTCAATGTAAGGTTTTAGTTTTTGGCTCTTCTATTTATTATTTATGTATAGTTAACTTCTCTATATAATATTACCCACTGCATGGGTTGGAGCAAGGTTTAAATATAATTTATAAAGTTAATTTTACTTTATATTATACATAAAATTGTAGCTCTCTTTTTGACACACACACAATCTCAATATTTTCTCTATATACCTATACACATGTAGTATTTTTTTCTGTTTGAAATGTCAAAAATAAATATCATAAAATTGAAAGCTGACCAAAATTTTAAATAGATGGCCTTTAGAATTCATTTAAAGTTGTACAATAAAGTATTTTCTCAAAGCTATTCATATACCAAAATGCACAAAAGTAATTCCCAGAATATTTTTGAATAATGATAATCACTATTAATGTGTCACTTTGTTTAGCTAGTATAGGCCCAATGGAAAGTTTCCTCACTGACAGGAAAATCTTCCTGAGGAAATTTTACTATTTTGCTTTTTCAATTAGAGTCCATAGATGAATTAGAAGATGGAGCTGTGTAATAGTCTGCCAGTTGGTGCTGTGATGAGTTGCATATTATGTAGAAAGCCTAAAATTGAACACTAGGTGGCGTGGAAATGCCAGATCAAGAAATTATGATCTAGAGGTCCAAATTTTTGATAGTCAACTTTCTTGTTTGTAATTTTTGGCATTTGCTTGCTTGATTGTTTATTTGTTTTAAAACTTCAAAAATAAAGTAAACTGGTAACCTCAATAATTTATCAATTTTCATTGGTCCTACAAATGTATGATAATTGTATCAAAGTTGCTCTTAGTGCACTGAATACCAGGCTACATGTAAGACCTGCCCAGGACTTTCTTGTTTACCATTATGTCCCCAGTGACTAGGACACAGTCAGCATTCCACAGTATGTTGTGTTGAATTAATTAACCATATAAACCAGCCAAATTTAGGAATTAGTGTGCACAACATATATTTACCTGTTCATCATTGGTGTTTTCTTTTGCATTTGTCCTTTCTAGATCCTCCCTCTTATTTTTTTCAGCTGCTTCTCTTTCCCTGGAAGAAAAGATGGAAAGAAATACTTCAACCAAAGTGAACAAATACGTCATTAATTACTAGTTATGCTTTTAAAGCAATTGTCTTCTTTTTTTTTTTCAAACTGATAAGAAATAACTATCATACTTTAAGTCTAATGGTCAAAAATTCACTTTTGGAAAATACTCACAGTTTTTCCTTACACATAGCACACTTATTGCCATGCATCTTGCCATCTGGACCCCGGACAGGGTCACTTTCTCGAGTGCAGATAAGCTTCCCATTTTGCATTTGACTTTTATACTCATCACATGTATTCTGAAAAGATGAGAAGATTATGCTGTAAATGCTGTTTTTGCATAGTATTTATTGGATTGTCAGCTACTTAACCTTATTTCAATAGGTAGAATAAGGGCCCACAAAGACATCCATGTTCTCATTTTTGGAACCTATGAATATGTTGCTTTACATGGTAAAGAGGGATTAGGATTGAATATAGAATTGAAGTTGCCAATCAGCTGAGTGTGCAATGAGATTTTCCTGGATTATCTGAGTGGTCCCAATTTTACCACAGGGTTCTCATCCAAGAATGAAGGAAACAGAAGAGTCAATGTCAGAATGATACAGCTTGAGAAAGGCATGCCTGGCCATCGCTGACATTAGAGGTGGCCACAGCAGAGGAGTGCAGGTAGCCTCTAGAAGTCGGTAAAAGGAAAGAAATGGATTGTCCCCTAAACCCTCCACAAAACAAAAACAAACAACATAAACAACAAAAAAATCCCACAACCTTACTGATATCTTGGTTTTTAGCACAGACAGATCCATTTAGAACCTCTGAACTCCAGAAATGTAAGATAATACATTTGTTTTGTTGTGAGCCACTGTTTGTAATAACTTGTTACAGTAGCAATAACAAATTAATATACTTTGAGAACTGCATTTTACTTATTTATAACATAAGATTAAGAAGCCTCATTCAGGCTACATATGGTGCGTCACACCTATAATCCTAGCACTCTGGGAGGCCAAGGCTGGAAGATCAGGAGTTCGAGACCAGCTTGAGCAAGAGTGAGACCTCATCCCTACTAAAAATACAAAAATTAGCCAGGCCTGGTGGCACAAACCTATAGTCCCAGCTACTCAGAAGGCCAAGGCAAAAAGATCACTTGAACTCAGGAGTTTGAGTTTGCCGTGAACAGGGCTGATACCACAGCACTCTAGACCAGGTGTCAGAGCAAGACTCTGTCAAACACAGAACAAAACACCTATTTGGTTGGCCAGGCAGCTGAGAAAATTAAATAAACTACAATTTATAAAAGTGCTGAAAGAGTTTCATTTTAACAGGTTACCAGTGGTATTCACATTAATGAAGGCTCCTGGCCTTCTAAGGGCAAGATCTCTTTTGTCCATAGTGACATGCTTGTCCCATATTTTTCATGGCCAAGTATTGATTTATACAAAGACCATATTTGCCAAAACCTAATTAATGACTCACCTTTCCAGTTTCATTTGACCTGATGCCAGACTGCTCATTTTTTTTCTCAGCTTCTCTTTCCCTAGATAAGAAAAGAATCAGTAGTCATCTTGTTAACACTACTCAGGTTTGGAAGGAACTCAAGAGTTCATATATCCTTAACCACCTTTAGAGGAAATCTCTCTGTACCTCTTTGAGGGAGACAGTCAGCTGGGTAACTAAGTTCCTGGTACAAGATGCTCCCTCATCACAAAGTAGATATATTCAAAGTACATATATTCTATATGTAGATCATCTCATGTAATTACAAAGTTGCCTTTATCTGTGTTTAAATTTTCTCTTTCTGACTTTCATCCTTCTGTATTATTTCACATGCTCAGAACAACACCAGTCCAGCCTGCTGAACTGATTACCTCTTACCAGTGATAATTTTTTAGATATATAAGGGCAATTTTTATATCTCAATAGTTTCCTTAGTTTCTTCTCCTTTTCATCCTAAGTTATGCATTTTAATTTTTCCATCCACTCCCCATACTGGCTCCTTAATTTTCAGGTCAACCGATTTTATCATTATTGCTTAAAGTGTGGGGCCCAAGATGGGGGGAAAAAAAAGAGTAATTTAGGGATGACCCTTGGATCATGCTGATTTTTTTTATGTATTTCTTACGAAATATTTCTGCTAGTGGTTCTAAGATTTTATGTGCATTAAAAATCACCAAAGAGATGTTAAAAATTCACATTCTCTAACCATCCCAACATTTTTGTGCACAGTATAGGAAGTAGGCTCAGTAACTTGATTTTTAACAAGCCAGTTGATTCCAATGCACTTGGCTTAATGTTCAAATAGAGCTGACCCTCCACAAATGTAGGGGGTTGGTTCCAAGATCCCCTTCCACCTTGCATATACAAAAATTCCCACATACTTAAGTCCTGCAATTGGCCCTATGGAACCCATCTATATCAAAAGTTGGCACTAAATATATCTGAGTTTTGCATCCCAGGAATATTGTATTTTCAATCTATATTTGACTGAAGAAGATCTGGATATAAGTTGACCCATGCAATTCAGACCCATGTTGTTTTGGAATCAGCTGTACTGAAAAACTTTAGTTTATGTTATTTCTCTTTCAAACTTTCACTTGTGTTTTCACATAAAATAAAGCATGTATATGTATGTATATTTCATATATATATATATATACACATGCACACATATATTTCTGTTTCTTAGGGAACTCCCTTTGAGTGTGTAAGAGATAGGAAAGTGCTAGTAAAATACACATTGAAGATTTAAGTTTAAAGTCATGCACGTTTAATCACATGAGCTATTAGAGAAAGAGAATACCTATAATCATTCAGTTTGATGAAGTTCCAATCACAGTCACAGCTGCCCAAAAACTTTTAGCAGTCTCTGATCACACAGAGAATATAATCTAATGTCTTTCTCATGATCCTAAGTAATCTTTCCAGACTTGTTTCTTATAGTTCTCTCCATCCTCAATAATCTTGAGACATAGTGACCTCCTTTCTGTTCCTTGAGCTTGTTGATTTCATACATATCAGCAGTTCTCGCATTGGCTCTTGCTCTGCCTGAAACTTTCTTCTTCCAGATATTCACATTTACTCATGCTCTATAGGTTTTCCTCACGTGGGAAAACTTCACAGGACACCAGAAATAAAATAGCAGTGCCAGTCTGTTTCTGTTATCTTGTTCTACTTTATTTTTATTACTATCTGGCCTTGTATTATACATAGTTATTTGGGTTTTTTTTTCCTATTATCTGCCTTCACTACATTATACATAATACAGTTTTATAATGGCAGTAACTTGGTCATGTTCACTTGAAAAGTACCTGTTTATGAAGCATGTCTGTTACATTATAGGTAGTGGAAAACCACTTGTAAGATAAAGGGTCTCCAAAGATTGTTAAAAAACAATTCCACATTTTTTTTTTGGTTATTTCTGCTATTAACTTCAGGTAAATATTTTAAAATAGTAAATTTTTTATCTTAATTTCTGCATTTAAAAATCATTGTTTGTTCCTTTACAAAGTTCTCCAGTATTAATATGTGACACAGAAAGAAAGTCTTAAGTGAAGAGCTATCTCAGTTAGATTCATATCTGTAAAATATTAATTGCACAAAACTAATCAAAGCATTATAAACATTTGTGAAATACACAACAACTGAATGCCATAGTTAAGAGCACTTTAATATGTTTTAAAACTATAGGTACTCTTCAACATCACCTAGAACTATCTCATTTTATAGGTAAAATTAATAGTAGTTACATTACCCCAATAACCCTAACCAAAAATGGCTGAGCTCAATCATAAAGCATTCCAATTTAAAATCATTCACCCAGGAAAAATAAACAGAAGAAACAGAACATGGAGTATGCAAAAAGTGTGTCTCATGCATATGACAAGACACCAGCTCTCTGAAACCGTGCTCACCAACTATTCCTAATGACCATCCTAAAGTCTTCCAAGGATTCAGATACAAAGAAGAACAATTATTTCCCATGATGGCACTTAGAGGTCACAGAATTAGAAGAGTGAGCATCAGCTACATAATTAGTGCTACTTCTAGGGTTCATTGTTCCTCAGTCTTGCAAGAGAAAAAGATAACATTTGGAAAATAACAGAAAGAATAAATTTTTATGGAGGGAAGCATAGAAAATGAGAAATGGACATTAATTTAGAAGGAATATCAGACTATCTTTCAGACATATATGTGAGAGAAGAACTTACAGGATCTCTTTACACATGGTGCACTTATTGTTGTAGGATTTGCCATCGGCACCACGCACAGGATCTATTTCCCGAGTACAGGTGAGTTTTCCATTTCTCATTTTATCTTTAAACTCAGCACATTGGTCCTAAAAAGGAAGAAGAGAGCAAGGCTCCTGGATTACTTAGTCTACCATATTGTTATTAAGTTTGCTAAACAATTCCTGTAAGAAAATTTCCCATCAACCCCCTCAGCCTTCACCAACCTCCCTTTAAAAGAATTGTAATATCTAGGACTTCTAGCCCCAGAGAAAGAGTAGGTAGAATCATCCATATTTTAATCATTAGAGATCAGTAGTCATGGCTACAAATAATGTTTCTTTCTACATAGAGAAATTATAAAGATGGCAGAAAATTACCCACAGGTGTAATTTTCCTTGCTGCCTGATTTTAGATATAAGATTTGATCAAAATACATCTTTACTCAAATATTTAGATATTATTTATGCCTTCTTCTTCACAACAGGCACAATATAACCCGTAATGCCTACAATATTTATCATCTGGTCTTTTATAAAAAAACATGCTGACCCCTGGCATAGATAAAGGGGAGAATAAAATGCTGGGAGTAAAGTTACACAAAATGTTAAGAAAAGTAGGCTTGACCAAGTTATGGTGGAGACAGACAAAAACGTTTAACAAGTCTATTCCTATTTAGGAAAACTCAGCCTCCTAAAGCAAAAAAAATATATTAAAAACAAAGAAACAAAACAAAACACCAGAAAGGCTAGAGTTTATCAAAGGTAAATATTGGGTCTGTGTCAAACCTAGAAGTGAAGAGATGGTCTTGATATTCTAAGGTATAAGATAAATAATATAGTTATAGTCTTATGGTTTTTGTTGTTGTTGTTGTAGTTTTTTTGAATAGAGTCTCACTTTGTCACCCTCAGTAGAGTGCTGTGGCTTCACAGCTCACAGCTACCTCTAACTCTTGGGTTTAAATGATTCTCTTGCCTCAGCCTCCCAAGTAGCTGGGACTACAGTCGTCCCTTACAACCCCCGGCTATTTTGTTGTTGGAGTTGTTATTGTTGTTTAAGCTGGTCCAGGCAGGGTTTGAACCTGCCTATATGTGGCCGGTGCCCTACACACTGAGCTACAGGCACCAGTTATAGTCTTATGATGTGGTGTTCACACAATCAAATAATGACCTTACAGACAATATTATCACACTGGTACTTAAAAATGTCTTTGGGAGTCTGCTAAACATTTTCCTAAGTTATTTTACTTTATCCTTATAAGAATACTTCTAAATAAGGAACACTAGAGTTACATGAGATGAAGTGATCTACTTAGTGATTCACAATCCAAGTGGTAGGGCAGGATCGCAACCCAAACTATCTGACTCTAAAGCGTATGCCTTTTTGCCATAGTCTGCTGCCTTGGATCAATAGAAAAGACACCTCAAAAAAAGTAGCTCCATTCACAGCAACAAAGGATAATGAAAGAAAATGAAGAGCTTATGACACTGATGAGAATGATTATTAACATAAGGGCTAGAATACTGTAAGGAGAACTCTGGAGACTGGGGTAAGGTCAGCACATTGCTAATTATCTTCGGGTTTGAAGAAGTTAAAATGAGTCCAAGAGAGAGGAGAAATTGCTCCTCACATACCCTATACCCTTAATCAAAGGGAAAGGCCTCTGTTCTTCCAAGGATGCTTTCAGACCCAAAACTACGTCATTCCCTTTGGGTGACACAAGCCATGTCAGCACCCCATCGTCAATGAGCTGAGCATGCTCTGGTCACTGAAATTAGAGATAGGTCTCACCTGAGCATTCCCTCCCCCTCCGCCGTGGGAACCATGTCCTGCAGCATTTCTCTGATCTTCCTGTTCTTTCCTCTTTCTTTCTTCATTTTCTTTCTGGCTGGAAATTAGAAAGTGGGCAGTAGGAAATAATAGATTACAGAGAGTACAGTGTATTTCTGTGAGTTTCTCATCAAATCAGATATGTATCAGAATTCATCAGCATTTACTTAACATCTTTTATATTGCAAGCCTTCTCCAAAAATAAAAAGATAAAGTATGTGGAATCCTTCAACGGGAAGACCTCTTATTACAGTGAAAGAAAACCAGCATGCACATTACCACAAGACACGGTAAGTAATTAGCACTTCACATATGTCCACTGGGGATCTTCAGCTATGTTTATCATACATATATTCAAGAAGTCCACTGAATGTGTCTTTTTTCTTCTGGATTTTCCACATTTCACAAAGAATGAAACATTGGAATCATCTCCAATCGCTCACATAGCTGTGCCCATATAACATTGATTCCACCCTCACAGTGATCCACTTATGTTCACCTTGACCCACTCACCTACAGCCCTTCCTTCTCTTTTCACTGGTGACATAAGAATTTTCCTAAAGAACTACATTTATGCCACCTATTCTCTTACCTGAAAAATTTTAGTGAATTCCCATTACATATAGCATTGACCAGAAAATATTCACTCTGGCATTCAAAGCTGGTAAATTTTAACTAATGACTTGCTTTTCATTCTAAATACTACAGTTTTCTTAATCTCTACCTATACTGTTCTCTGCTTCTTCTATCATTCTTTCCTGTCATGTACATTTCATATCCAAATTTTACAGTCCAGTTCTACCCCCTAAAACTTTCTATTAATTATCCTTTCCCTGTAGTACCATAACAAAAAATACACAGAATTTCTCCTTTATATTATATCCCTTTATGTCTGTGTTTAATTCCTAGTGGACTATCTGATTTCTGAGAAAAGCATCTGTTTTATTCATTTTTGCATAATCATTATACACACCGTACAGTGTAGATGTTCAATAAATGTCTGTTAAAAGACTTAACTATCTTAAGTGTACTTCCAAACTTCCCTGAAAATGTGATATTTTTAAAAATGTAGGTGAGGAATTAGATTGACACTAAAATCTGTGTGTTTTCTTCCAATCAGAATTCCAAGATAATGGAAGGGATTCACTTGACAGCAGAGGACTTAGGATTTTATCAGAAAATGTTGGCAGAGACTGGTGGTTTATGCCTATAATCTTAGCACTCTGGGAGGCCAAGAGAGGAGGATTCCTTGAGGCCAGGAGTTCAAGAATCAGAATGAGCAAGAAGGAAATACCATGTATACTAAAAATAGAACAATTAGGTAGATGTTGTGGCAGATGGCTGTAATCACAGCTACTCAAGAGGCTGAGGCAAGAGGATCACTTGAACCCAGGAGTTTGAGATTGCTGTAAGCTAGGTTGATGCTACTGCACTCTAACCTGGGCAACAGAGTGAGACTCTAATATATATATAGAAAGAAAAGATGGAAGGAAGGAAGGAAGGAAAGAAAGAAGGAAGGAAGGAAGGGAGGGAGGGAGGGAGGGAGGGAGGAGGGAGGGAGGGAGGGGAAAAGAAGGAAAGAAAGAGAAAAGAAAATGGTACGTTCTATTTCTGAACTAACAGAGAGTGTAATGACCTAGTAATACATTATCTATTTCTAGAACTATAAATCTTGGCCTTTATAAAGAAAGCTTTACATCAAATGCTTTATGGATAAGCATTTGTTTCTTTTGTGTGCGGCAAGGCCAAACCCAATTTGTATTATCTGCCCAGCTCATTGTTCCCCACTCTGCCCATCCAAAGTGAAGGCTTTGTTTGCACACTCACAAGACTGCCTTACACATGGCACACTTGTTGCCATGGGTCTTGCCATCTGGGCCACGCACAGGATCGTTTTCCCGTGTGCAGAAAAGATTTCCATTTTGTAAAAGACTCCGGAATTCATTGCATGTGTCCTAGAAATAGGAGAAAGGCAAGAGCTTGAGTATTTTCTTAGAAATTAGTTTGCTGAGTTCTTACTAAGCACTTTCTGGGGAAAAAAAAAAAGAGAGAGAATGATCTGAGGACTTTTTTCCTGGCAATTATATTATTTCATTCATATTAAATGCTCAGGATTTGGAAAAGGTTTGTACTTCTTTCTCTTTGAGAGTTAGCCCCAAATCGAGACTAAGCCTACAATCACACATATGACTTAATAAACTGATTTTGTCTGAATCGGTCACAGCCTTGGCTCAGGGTTTTATTGTCTCTATCATGTTAATGTATCACAGACTTTAACTACTCCAGGTGTGGATGTAGCCTCTAGGTCCACTGTGCATCCTGTCTCCCAATTCTTTTTATGTCCTGTCTGCCAAGTCACTAATTTCTATTGAAACACCAGAAGTGATAAAAATTCCACTATCTTCCCAACAGTTCAATCCAAAATTGTCACTGGTTTCTGCAAATAAGCCCAAGTTCTGCTTTGAGGGAATCTTAGGAAATTACTCTTGTCAATCTTATAGAATCCGTACTGTAAGGATCCTTTAATTTTCTTTGTCATTTAAAATGAGATGTTTCTTTCTTCAGACCAGCACAGTTAAAGTATTTAACTTCCCTCAGAGAAATTAAGGCTATTTTTCTTCTCCCATGTGAGAGTCCGTCAGATACTTGCAGACAGCTTTCTTGTCCTCCCACCCCTCGCTATATTCTCTTACAAAAATTAATCACACCCAGATAACTTCAGTCATTCTGTTTATGACATGGTTTCCAGACCATTTCTCATTCTGAATTCTCCCCTTTTCCTAAAGAATCTAAAATTCTGTTTCAATAGTTTTTGATGAGGGCAGGGAAATGGCCACAACTTGGAATGACCTACCTAGAGTCAGTTTTCTTAAACTCAAGAAAATATTATTTGGGAATGCTACTTTTTTGTCTTCTCTCCAAATCTGGTGCCAGAAAATTATCAAAGGTACAGCAAGGAACCTGCACCTGGTTTGACCAGATAGGGTAATCCAAAATATCCTGGGGAATGCAGGAATTGGTGTCAGGAAGTCTTGGTTTGTATTGCATTGTTTCTAGTTTGCAAATGTAAGAACTTTGAAATAACAAGATACAGGAACTGATAACAACACCCCAACTAACTGTAAGCAAGTTCTTCCTTCTCTCTGAATTCTAAATCTTCATTTTAAAATACTGGAATAGAGTAAATGGGAGGTCTGCAAACTGGGACCTGTGTACAAAATCTGACCAACTGCCTGCTTCCAGAAATAAAGTTTTATTGTAACATAACCATGTTTATTTGCTTGTGCATAATCTGACTGCTGTCTGCTGTAAAGCTATCATACAGTAGTTATGACAGAGATTATATAGCTACACTGCCCAAAATATCTAGTATCGGTCCCTTTAAGATAGAGTTTCTCACCCCTGGACTAAAGGAAACCTGTGTTGCCTGACAATAATTCCACAAGTTATTTTAACAGAAATACTGAAAAACTTTCCCCTTTCAGTGCAGTATGAACATTCTGGGACAATCACCATTGTAGCATCTCTTTTAACTTTTGCTCTGGATTCAGCTTCTTCTTTTTCTTTTGCTTCTTGATGGCTATAAGAGAAGAAGAGAAAAAAACAATTATTCATAGAACCCAATACATACTATCCTAAGAAGAAATTTCTCTAGATAAAAATAATCTATTACTTTTATGTCTCCACCAACTTAGGTTGAGGGTAGGATGGTAAATGCATGTCCCTTCATACCATTGTTCTTATTTATGTTTCTTAAAGAATAAGATATATATGTGCTATAGAAAACCAGTCAATAAATTTTCACCCCATGTGATTTTTTTTTTTTTTTTTTTTGAGACAGAGCCTCAAGCTGTCCCCCTGGGTAGAGTGCTATGGCTTCACTGCTCACAGCAACCTCCAACTCCTGGGCTCAAGAGGGTCTCCTGCTTCAGCTTCCCAAGGAGCTGGGACCACAGGCGCCCGCCACAATGCCCGGCCATTTTTTGGTTGCAGCCATTATTGTTGTTTGCGGGTCCAGGCTGGATTCGAACCTGCCACCTTAGGTGCATGTGGCTGGCTCCTTAGCCATTTGAGCCACAGGCGCCAAGCTGATGTGATTTTTTTTTTTTGTAAATAGAGATATCATTCTTTTCCCCAGAAGGAAACTAGGATACTGATTAAATGTTAACAAATTTTCAATTTGTTTGCACCTAAATGATTACACCTTTGAATTATTCATAACAATGACTTATATATGCAGAGCACAGAAGTCTTAGTCTTCTTATGCCACTAACTCTGGGGTAATTTGTCCTTAGCACGTGATCTTTTCTTGACGGTGATTTAAGTATTTTTCAGAACATTGGAAATTAATAAAAAGAAATGTGGTAAGTATATGGCTTTATAACAGCAACTAATTCTATGCAAAGACAGCCTTTATTATCTACCTCCTGGAGAAAGCCTATAATGTCATCCCTCTCGCTCACCCAAGGCTTATCTTCCCCTATACTTAGCAGCAACAGTGACTGAATCTCTACTCACAAGAAGGCCTCACACATGGAGCAGGTATTGCCATGGATTTTCCCGTCTAGACCTTCGATAGGGTCATTCTCCCTGGTGCAGGGGAGTCGTCCATTCCTCACGTACTGACGGTATTCACTGCACAGCTCCTGGCAAAGGAAGGAGGATTTAAGAATCATAGAACTATAAAATGGCCTGTTTTCCCTTGGGGATATACACTAGCACATAGGGAAGTACATCTCAATGAAAATCAAGCTGGGGAGAAGGGGAAAGGAGGGGAAGGGTAAATCCACACCTGTTGGGTACAGTGTACACTAGCTGGGTAAAGGACATACTTGTAACTTTGACACAATCAGTACAAAAACAAAGTGTGTAAACAAAACATGTATGCCCCCTAATATTCTAAAATTAAAAATTAATCAGATAACTAAATGATGAACATCTTCCTCATCTCTTTGAAAACTAAAAAGTAATGGATGAAAAAAAGGTGATGCAGAAGGTTGATGCAAAAGGTTGATATTAGCCAAGATGCTTTTCACAGGCCTGGGTTGCACATTATTTGAAACTTAAGATTACTGCTATTTATCTCATTAGAAAATGTTCAATTCAAATATTATTCTGTGCTAGACATCATGAGAGATACAGAGAAGAATAATTCATTGTCTCTTAAATTGGTTAAGGAACTTGTGGTAAACACAATAACATGCTCATACACACTTAAAATGTCAAAATCCTAATACCTAGGACCAGTCAGTCTATGACCTTACATGGCAAAGAGGCTTTGCAGGCACAATGAATCAAGAACCTCGAGATAGGAAGACCAACTGTCCTGGATTGTTCTAATGGGCTCAACATAATCCCAGGGTCTATCTGTAATACTGAAAGAATGAGGTAGAAGAGAGAAGGAAAGGGAGAAGTGACTACAGAAGAACAGTCAGATAGATGCAAAGTTGCTGGCTTTGGACATGGAGGAAGGGGTCCAAGAGCCAAGGAAGACAGTGAGCTTCTGGAAGCTAGAAAATAGAGATGCATTCTGCAGTGCCCTAGAGATAAGAGAAAGGCAGGCAGTCTCTCCAATCCTTTGATTTTAGCCCAGTGAGGACCTTGTCAGACTCTAACCTACAGACCCATAGATAATAAGGTTATGTTATTTTAAGCACCAAAGTGTGGTAGTTTGTTATAGCAACCACAGAAAACTAATACAGAGTTTTTACTTATGCATAGAAGCAACTGTTAGTTGGAGTAAAGCAAATGATATAACTAAAATACGTTTAAAGAAGTGATGGCATAATAGATGATAGAGTTATTAACTATATTATAAAATGGGAAAATATGTGTATTACTTAGTCAGAGATGTGTATTGCTTATTCATGAAAAGAGGCTAAAATTTTGATAGAGGAAATAAACATCACTATGAGCAAACCCATATTTGAAGGTAAAGTTCATTGTATGCTGATAAATTAGTGAATTGCCTACTGTGACATATCTCATTCACCGATGAAAATAGATACATAATAGGATAAGGAGTGGCAGTGCAAGCCTGTAATTCTAGAGCTTTGGGAGGCTGAAACAGGAGAATTGTTTGAGCCCAGGTGTTTGAGACCAGCCCAAGAAACATAGTAAAATCTGTCTGTACAAAAAATACAAGAATTAGCCAGGCATGATGGTGTGTGCCCGTAATCCCAGCTACTCAGGAAGGTGAGGCAGTAGCATTGCTTGAAACAAGAGTTTGAGGTTGCATTGAGCTATGATAATGTCACTGTACTCTAGTCTGGGCCATGAAGTGAGAGGGAGGGGGCCATGGAGTGAGAGAGAGAGAAGACATAATGATATTAACAGTAAATAATTTTACATATTCAATACTTAAGATATAAGACAGTGCTTTTATAGGAAACATGGAGAGGTTTCTTGGAACTTTATGCAAATGATGTATATACTAGTCATATCCTTATTTTATACATGAAGGAACTAAGATACAAAGATATTAACCATCTGACCTTACAGGTAAGGAGATGGGGGGATGATTTGAACCTCAAGTATGGAGTCGAGTTTTTTTAACAAAAATGTTATTGAGTCAAAAGTTTGGAAGACATGAATCGATGTTTAGTGTGTCCAAGAGGCAGCAAGGTGGCCAGTGTAACTGGCATAAGGAGAATAATGTGTAGAATAACAGGAAATGAGATCTGAGAGGTGGAAGGCGTCAGGTCGTGCATGGCACTGTAAGCCAGTAGAAGAAATTTGGTTCTTATTCTGAGTGAGATGAGAAGCTACCGGTTGACATGACCTGCTTTATATTTTTAAATAATTGCTTTGGTTTAACAGTTGAGAGTAGACTGTATGGAACTAAGGCAAGAGTAGAAAGAATTGCAGAAATGAAATCTTTCATATTAACAAAGAATAAAAGAAGGTATCATGAAGGCATGAGGCATACTCTGAAGGAACATTACAAATGGCAGAAAAGTATAAAATCTTAAATGCCTCATGGGGCTTAAAGCCATAACTTGTAGTTTAATTGCTAGCTCTCAAATTACTAAATGTAGATAAGCATAAATATAATTTATATCACATACTATAATACTTATATTAATAAATAATGTTATTAATATATGATTTTATTTCTATATATTACTAATTACATATCTTTCCTAACTTCTTGTTGGAGCCTCCAAGTCTTCTTCCTTAAAATACAGATAGTAATACATAGCTTGAATGATTACTACAAATATTAGACATGAAATTTTTATTCTTTGAGGCCTGCAGTAACAACAAAATAATGAATGGTCATTACTATCATCATTATCATCATTGTCATCGTCATGTGAGATTTTATAGAGTGAAAACCCAAGGCTCAGAGATGTTCTCAAATAATTTTCCGAAAATTTCACAGAGAACTAATTGGGATGAAAAGCTAGTTTGGTTTTGTTTAATGAAAGAGCTTTATTCAAACGGGTTTTTGAGAAAAGTCTAAATATCTACCTCTGTTAGTTTGCATTCAGACACCAGGATGACAATCTGTATGTACTTCTTTCTCGGGTGATATAATTCAGAGGGTTAGTGGGAGGACATAATTGATCTCCTCTCCAATGCCTCAGCAACTAATAGATTTAGTGTTAATAAAATGAATAAGGATGAAGGAGTCCTCTCATCCGTGAGGACCAAACATACGTCCTTGATGTGCCATCACTGAGGATGCTGGGATGAGAAGGGCAGGAGGTTTGTGTAAAGGGAAAGGTCACTGACTGCCAGGTGGCGCGGTGATCTGAAACAGCTACCTGCACTGCTTCTCTCTTCACTTTTTCAGCCTCAACTTTCTCCTCTTCTTTGTTGTTAGTTTCCTTCTCTTCTTCTTCAAGTTTGCTGCAATAGAAGAAGAAGATAGAGGCTGAACAAAACTCCCCATTCATTTTGGTAGTGTAAGTTTTGAAGGAATGAGGATCTTTTAGACCAAAGATCAGATTCAGTCTTCAGTATAAATTTACCTACTCTGAGAGGTGCTATTGCTTTGCCAGCGATGTAGGTAAATGCAGAGTGGCCATAAAGTTTGGGTGCAATTGCCCCACTGAAAAGAGTAATAATCAAACAAGCATGCATTTTTATCAGTATGTATCATTTAGATCATCTCATTTTCTGTAGGTCAGTATTTCTCATCAATGATCTAAAAGAAGCCACAATTGCCTTGATTAATTTTTAATTGTGAAACTTTTCTTATTCAAACAACTACGATCACAGTGACAAAAGAAAAAGGCAATGCCAAGTCAGATGATGGCTCCATAATCACAGCAAACCTCATTTTGCTATAAAATGAAAATTTCCCATATTGTTTAATTTTTCAGTTGAAATTTGGGTTTTGGACTGAGCAGTGATTTAAGTCTGATGATTTCATATCTAATTCTTTAAAGATCAATTGCAAACCTAATATTCTCTTATTCTGGCTGTTTTCTACTGACATGTAGCTTATCAAAACTGGAAAATACTTATTATTTACTACATTTAGTCATTACCACAACATCAGCCAATCAAACAAGGGAGAGAAAAACTCCAGGTTCTTGAATTTTGCCCCTTGTTTATCCTACTGCCTACTCCATCAACCTCTATTTTTAAGAAACTATGTACATAGCTTAAGGTTAGACTAGGACATATGAAATTTAGGAGAAAATACCTTAGTGCCTTTTTAAACAGATATTATTTAAATACTTTTTCTCAGCATTTAATTTAAAGTGAAGCTTAGGAAGGCATTAGAGCAGTGGTTCTCAACCTTCCTAATGCTGCAAGACAGTTCCTGCGGGTCATGACCCCCAGGTTGAGAATCGTCGCATTAGAGACTCAGACAAGACTTAGAGATGGTAATAATCAGCTTCTCCTATGTTGCCCCACATAGTGGAGCTCTAGTCATAGGGTTACCCACACCACTCAGCAAATCAAGATCTAGGAGGCCCTGGGCCTGGGTTAACAAGAAAACCTTTTAGTAAATCTGTATTAAATGGGCCTGCTTCTGAGGGGTTTCACACTACACTAAACCAATACTCAGTATGCATTTCATTCAGGGGTCCTCAAACTTTTTAAACAGGGGGCCAGTTCACTATCTCTCAGACTGTTAGAGGGCCAGACTGTGGGCTCCGGGATGAGTCGGCTGCTAAGCAGGACAGGTAGAGGTGGCAAAAACACCCAGTGGGCCAGATAAATGTCCTTAGTGGGCTGGATAAATGTCCTTGTTGGGCCGCATGTGGCCTGCAGGCCGTAGTTTGAGGACGCCTGACCTACATACAGTAATGGCCCTGAAAGGATGAACATAAACTTCCCTATTCCACTTTTTATTCAAATTATTTTAAAAGTCCTAATATACTGGTTTAAAAGTCCTTATATACTGGCCCCACAGGTCTCTGTCCAGCTGGCTTCTGCTCAACCCATATCTGAATTAACTCAAGAAATCATGAACTGTCAAGGATGAGACAAAGATCCAATTCATATCGTGAAACGTCCACTCTCTCCTTTTTATAAAGGAAAATTATCAAGTGTTAAAAATGTATTAGCACTAAACTGAGTCTTTCTCTCTAATTTAATCAGAAGTGAGAAGGATAATTGAATATAAAATAACATTGCCACCCTTTGGTTCAATATTACTTAATTTACTCTTGTCCATCTGCTCTTAAAATTTTCTAGCACACAACCCATGGTAAATACTCTACACCTATACGAAGAATCTAAAACTCAGAGGTGACTGATGATGGAGAAACTCAGCGAGTGAGCCAGGGAAGGGTACTCACAACACGCTCGCACACATGGCACACTTGTTTCCGTGAATCTTGCCGTCTGGACCCCGGACAGGATCGTGCTCCCTTGTGCAGATGAGCATCCCATTTCTCACTTGCTCCCGGAATTCACTGCAGGTTTCCTGGAAAATGAAGAAAACATTTTCTTAGGGCAGTTTTCTCCCCTGCCTGCACATTTCCTCTTGTGAGGAATACGTAATGCAGAGTAAAAAGTGAAAAGAAAAGCAATAACGTGTAGCAGCAAATCAGTAAATGTTCATGAAACTTCCGTCATGAATGCAGAGTTGCCCTGGCACTGCAGCAGACCTGGGAATATTTTATCATCATCTTTCTCCTGCAGGCGATTCTATTCAAGGTGCAGACGAAGGCTAATATACCAATGTGACGAAACATATTTCTGTGTTGGTTGGGTACACAACCTACAAAAGCTATGAAAAATCAGAGGTGAGGAGATTCCATAGGCAGGCCTGGAAGAGATGCCTCCTGGAGGAATTGGAGAATATTGCTGAGTCCTGGTTCTTCTTTAGGAGACTTGCATAAACCCAGATGCTCTATAATGATATAGAGTGAGGAGAGAATAAATTTAGTCCTTGAAGAAACTGACCTCTTCCTGGGATTGAATTGATAAAGTCTAGGAAAAGGCGATGTAGATTTGAACCGGGAGAGTAACAACAGAGTGGAGAGAAAGAGGTGTGTTTTAGAACCTTTAGAAATATGTAACAGGACTTGGCAGCTAGTCAAATACAATGAATGTAACAAATTTTCCATTCCAAATTACCAATAAAATCATAGAGGCAGCTAACATAAACAGCCATTGAAAAAATGAGTCAGTATAAAGGTAAACTATTTTTTTTTTTTTTTTTTTTTTCAGAGCCTCAAGCTGTCCCCCTGGGTAGAGTGCCATGGCATTACAGCTCACAGCAACCTCCAACTCCTGGGCTCAAGCGAGTCTCCTGCCTCCGCCTCCCAAGTAGCTGGGACCACAGGCGCCCGCCACAACGCCCGGCTATTTTTTGGTTGCAGCCGTCATTGTTGTTTGGCAGGTCCGGGCTGGGAATTCGAACCCGCCACCTTAGGTGTACGTGGCTGGCGCCTTAGCCGGTTGAGCCACAGGCGCCGAGCCTAAAGGTAAACTATTAAACTGTGTCATTTTTTCCCCAAATAATGATTAGGCTTATATTTATAAAACTGTTGTTCAGAAATAGAATAAATAAAAATAAATCTTATATAAAGTGATTATATGAGAGTAATCCAACATCTCCACACAGGGCCCAACTACCTGTAAAATTACAAAATTACAGAAGTATAGAAAGTAGATAATTGGAAAGTCAAAGGACCTACTAAATAATGTTAATTGGGGGCAAGAGAATTAGAATTTTCTCCAGAGCTGAGTGGTGACAAAGATCAAATATGATAATATTTGTGCATTTGTTTTGTATGTTGTAATAATTGTAATATCTGGGACCTTGCAATATTTGTTTGAAGTAATAGACAAGAATTTATAAACTATACAAGTTAATATTAAAAATCTGTGTCCAATAACAGTAATCTAATAAAAGCCATATTTGGGGGAAATCCCTTATAAAAAGTTTACACTACACTTTTTATGAAATGAACCTTAAAATTTAAATAATCATGAAATAAAATTGGTTCTCTGGAAACTTTTGGTTAAACACTTTCTTTGTTCCTTTCAGGCATGGAAATTAAACAGGAAACACTTATTCTAATGAGATAACTAAAAAGCTACTGTAAAGTTAAACATGTCAGGACATGGCATCAACATTCCAGAGAAAATTACCTTTGCAGCTTCTCTTTTAGTCTTTGCTCTTGCTCTGTCTTCTAGTTGACTATAAGAAGCAAAAAAAAAAAAAAGAAAAAAAGAAAAAAAAAAGAAGCAAACAAAAAGAAAAAGAGAAGAAACAGATCTTAGTGCAGTAAGGTAGGTACTTACCACATTTATAGGCAATCATTCAGTGCTTTGACTATTTTCAGGCAACCCCACAGATACACCAATAATACTTTTTAATTTTACAGATAATAAACAAGTACGCTTCTTTGCAACTCACAAGAATGGCATTCAAGAAAAAGCTACTTGGCTTGGCGCTCATAGCTTGGCTGGCCCTGGTTACCAGCTTCAGTGTTTGTGGCCAGTGCCCTACCCAGTGAGCCACAGGCGCTACCCTGTTTAGCATATTCTTAACCTTTTTCTTAAAGCACATTTAATGCTGAGCCCCACATAAGGAAAACCCAAAGATTAGACAAAGCCTTGTCTCTGGAAATTCTAGAACCTGGACTTGCCTTATGAGACTTCCTAAGAGCTGGAAGCTTAATGATGTTGGCAGGTTCCAACCCAGCCTGGGCCAGTTAAACAACAACAACTGCAACAAAAAATAGCTGGGCGTTGTGGCAGGTACCTATAGTCCCAACTATCTGGGAGGCTGAGGCAAGAGAATCGCTTAAGCCCAGGAGTTTGAGGTTGCTGTGAGTTGTGATGCCTATACCAAGGGTAACATAGTGAGTCTCTGTGTAAAAAAAAAAAAAAAGAAAGAAAAGAAAAAAAGAAAAAGAAAAAAGAAAAGCCACGTATTTAAGAAGCAGACCTATTCAACTTCCCAGCATATGTACTCCAATAATACTTTTTTTATTAGTAGATTCTCTTGCATCTGTGATGACTCTCTATAAAGTGCCAATATTTGGCTTCTTGGAGGCAGTGTAGCATGGAGAATAAGAGAAAACACTGCACAGCCGAAGTGTATGATGAAAACAAGTGCCTTAACCTCTTTGTGCCTCCCTCATTTTCAAGGCAAGAGGGTTGCTTGACAGAGGAGAAGGAATAGAAGAGGTAGTAAGAGTTCCTTTCTTATAGGAATATTAGAAGAAGTAAGTGAATTCATACACATAGAAGAATTACAACAGTGTCTGGTACATAATAAAATGACTGGTGTAACTGATAAGAGGGACTGATATCATCATCATTGTTATCAGTGAAAGTTACCTGTCCCAAATAGACATATGGTGGAAATGAAGTGAGAATGACATCTCTTGCATTTTGAATAACTGTTATAAATTTAGTTTAACGGATTATAGCTATAGTTTAATCAATGTATAATACAAATAACTCAATCATATTCTACAGGTAAAAATTATATAATTTGTTAAAATATTTGAATGTGGTCCAGTCAACTTATGACTTTCTCATTGCTCACTTTCAATCTTTTTAAAGAGTTGAAATAACTGTGTTCACATGGTATGACAGTGTGCTGAAAATGACTATGGAGGGTACAGTGATTCTCCAGAGAATCAATAAACTTTGTTAACACCTACAAAATTTGAGATGATGAAAAATTATTTATCTTTGATAAGAAATATTTATGTTAGTGAAAGAAACTCACTAAAATAGATTCAAAATTATAGGGCTTTTTTTCAGACTGATTTATATGAAAACTGATCTAAATTTTGCCGCATCTAAGTTATCTAAAAAATTTGAGCATTTTTTTTCCTAATGGATATTGTCAGATGTGGCAGCAAATCTGACCACTAGGTGGCATGATTACTTCCTTGCTACCGAAAGATTAATGTAGAGAATAGGCTAAATGAAACAAATGTATCTACCAGTAGTTGGTAAAGGCCTTGCTAAGTGATTATGTCTTGACTACATGCTACAGTGAGACACACATTATCATTTTCTTCATCTACAAATTGCATATACCTTCCTGACTTTTCCATCATTCTCATCTTTTCTGAGCTTTTCATTTTTTTATCTGTAACTTGTGACAACACAATATCTATTTTATATGGTTATTGTGAAAATTAAATAAGATTATGTAGCAAAGCTCCTAGCAAGTACCAGACAAGTATATGCACTCCATAAATGATTATTATGATAATAATCAAGTCATCATCTTAACTTGCTCTGCACTTAAGCACTGTGGGGGAAGCCTGTTGGGTTATACTGCTCTGTCTGCAAAGACTGAAAGGTAAGGCCTTTCACTGATTCTTAGAATATAAAAACTGAAATCTGTATCCCTTTGGTCAAAAATCAAGAGTTTAGGAAACTCATAAGCTCTTGTTTGAGGGACCATATCCCATCTTCCATTCTGAAGTCATCCTTTAAGCCCCCCATAAATGGACATGCAACTCCTACAAAAAAAAAAAAAAAAACTCATCTCTATTCTTGAGTCTTTCCTTACTCTAGTACAAGGTCAGTCTTCATATTGAACCCAAACTTGTCTCTCAATAACTCTTACCCATTTTAATTCCATGCCTTAAAATTACACAGAATAAGTAGAATGTTAATGAACTAAAAACCAAAAATGCCTCATAAATCTCCCTTACACTATAATGATATTTTACATGTAATTGCATCTATCTCCTAATTCAGTTGATAATTACTCAAAAAACCCAAAGCAATCAGTATGATTATCATGGCATATACTCTTCTCTGGGTGAAAGATTCCAGGTTATTTTTTCTTCATCTCATTTTTTTTAGTTTTTATTTTTAATTGACAAATAATTGTGGCATAATTTATAGATTCAATGTGATATTATTGGTATAGGAAAATGATTAAGTCAAGCTAATTAACTTAGTCATCTCACATACTTCTCATTTTTTTGTGATGAGAACATTTATAATCTACTCTTTTTTTTTCTTTTTCTTTCTTTTTTTTTGAGACAGAGTCTCACTATGTCACCTTGGTAGAGTGCTGTGACATCACAGCTCACAGCAACCTCAAACTCCTGGGCTTAGGTGATTCTCTTACCTCAGCCTCCCAAGTAGTGGGGACTACAGACACTCACCACAATGCCTGTCTATTTTTTTGTTGTAGTTTTCATTGTTGTTTAGCTGGCCCAGGCTGGGTTCAAACATGCCACCATTGGTGTCTGTGACCGACTCAGTAACTACTGTGCTACGGGTGCCAAGCCTTATAATCTACACTTATAGTAACTATACTGTGCAATAGATCTCAAAAACTTATTTCTCCTGTCTCTGAAAGTTTTTACCCTTTGATCAGCATCTCCTCATTCCCAACACTCATACTATCTGTACCCCCAGGCTCTGAGCCTCTGATAATCACCAACCTACTCTCTACAAGGAGTTAGACTTTTTCAGATTCCACATGTGAGACCAAGCAAGTATTCGTTTTTTCTGTCTGGCTTATTCTACATCACTTTATGTCCCAACAATTCAATTATAATCTGAAAGCCCTCCACTTGCTTTGTAGCTGTTATTATTTGTTTATTTTTTAGTCCATTTAAATGTGGCACCTAAAACTGAACACTGCACTAAAAAGGAAAATGCCTTATTCACAGTTGCCACTTCTCAATCCCTCAGAAGGCCTGAGGCTACTGCTCTACTCACAAGAAGGCTTCACACATGGAGCAGGTGTTGCCATAGGTTTTCCCATCTGGGCCCTGAATGGGGTCATTCTCTCTGGTGCAAAGAAGTGATCCATTCTTTCTGGATTTGTGGTATTCGCCACATAATTCCTATGAAATCAAAGAGGGAAATTGGAAGTGTTTAACAGGTTGAATCAGATTGCAAAAATATCTGAAGTTCAGACTTTTTATGTCTTCTAAGTAGAGATGAGCGATTGACTTATTTTAGACTAGTTCTTAACTTGAAAGGCAGGGATATTTTTAAGTGAAAAAAGCAAGGAACCCTCAACCAAGAAATGGTCACATATGCCCATGTGTAACTGCATATATTTAAATACACACAAAAGACAAACTACAAATGTTTCATATACTTTCATGGAATTGATGTGTTCCTTGAATGCTGACATGCCTATATGCCTCTGACTTGCTAGAGAAGATGCCCTCACCTCAAAATAAGCTGTATCTTCATATTGTCTTTTATTTCTTGATTCACTTTGCTTCTTTTTCTTTTCTTCTTCTGCTTGGCTGAGAGTGGTTAAAACAAAAGATGAGTAAGAATCACAGTATCGCCATATTAGAAGTAATCTCAAATATAATTTAATTATTACAGTTAACATTTATTAAATTCTTATAATGTACCAAACCCTGTGCTATACATGTACTATGAAATCTTCATGACTGCATGTAGTAAAATCTTATTGTCATCTCATTTTACAAATAAGAAAACTGACAGAAGGAATGTATAGCTCACCTAAGGGCAGGGAGATAATAATTGTGGACTAGGGATTTAGACCCTAGTCTAGAAGTGGTTTCCAAAACTTCCAGTGCTCACTATTGTATCTCAGATGACTATCTACTCTTTGCTTTAATTTGCAGTGAAGTCTAAAGTCTCTATCTACATCACCTTTGACACGCAATGGTAAGTCACTCTATCTTTGAAATCCTCAAACTGTTAGAAAGTTCTTCCTGGCATTGAACTCTGTTTTCCAGAGTGTTCATCCATTGGCATATTGGCTCCACTTTTATCCATGGAGATAAGTTAGAACAAGCCCTGTTCCCACATTTAAAAACAAAGCTACTTGACTATTTCAAGACTATGACTCTCCCCTTGCCTAAGTGTGCCTAAGTCTTAGCAATTCTTAAAGTACATGGTTTTCACACATTTTTCCAATCAGGTGGGCTTTTTGTTTGTTTGTTTGTTTTATTTTTTTTTTGCCCCTAAGCATGCCTTAATTATTTTTCCCCCTGATTAAGTGGCCCTTTTCATAATTGAACATAAAAATTGAACAGAAAAGACTGGGCACCGTGGCTCATGTCTTTAATCCTAACACTCTGAGAGGCCAAGGTGGGTGGATAGCCTTGAGCTCAGGAGTTCAAGAAGAGCCTCAGTAAGAACAAGAACAAGATCTCTGTCTCTACTGAAAATAGAAAAACTAGCTGGGTATTGTGGTAGGCACCTGTAGTCTCAGCTCTTCAAGAGGGTGAGGCAAAAGAATTGCTTGGGCATAAGAGTTTGAGGTTGTTGTAGGCTTGTAAGCTAAGATGCCGTGACACGCTACCTAGTGAGATTCGGTCTCAAAAAAAAAAGAGAGAAGAAATTAAATGGAAAGGACAAAACCCTCTTCATTCTCCCAGCTACAGTCCTACTCACAAGAAGTTCGCACACATGTAGCAGGCATTGCCATGCATTTTCCCATCTGGGCCCAGGATGGGGTCGTTTTCTCTGGTACAAGCAAGTTTTCCATTCCTCACAAAGTTTTGATATTCACTGCAAAGCTCCTGCCAAGAAAAAGAAAGTCAGTTTGCCATATGCTTCATTTCTACCCAGAGCAAAAGATGCAGCCTTCTATACTGGCAGCAACTAATATTATGTCTCTGTGGGCCAGAATTTTAATTGTGTTTCTCTCTAATGTAAAATTTAATTTTTTACAATAAAAAAATCTTATCATTTACTAAGAGATCATAACAAATAAGACACAGAAGGCTGTTTCACTCTAATATAAGGGGGACACAAGCTAACTCCACTATAATCTCAACAGAAAAAAAGAAAAAAAAAAAAGGCAAGTGCAAATGCACAGGTACAAAAAAATCTGAGAACTCAGAGGACAGAACCATGAAATCTGACTGTGGAATCTAGGGTATCTTTCAAGTAGCAAAAATAATTCAGGCGAGGGTGAAGAGTAAATAGAATTTTCTTGGCAAAAACATAGATTGGCAAATATGCTCATCAGATTATCAAAATAAAATAAATTGAAAAACACAGGTGCACAACCACATGGCAGAATATAAATTTCTGATTGAAGCTGAGGAGTCAAAGAAGAGAAGTAAAGAGATTAAAAGATCTCTTGCAGTTGATAACGAGCTACTTATGGGTTTTAAGTCGAGCTATATTATGATCTGATTTATATTTTCAAACATTCTTCCAGCTGTGTTAGGGAAAATGGAAGGATTAAGGAAAGGACAGAATCCAGAAGGGGAATTAGAAGACTTTCTTCATCAAAACATTAGGTGACAGTAACTGATCTAAGGCTTTGGAATGTAACATTGTAATATTTCACACATAAGAATCATGCTTTGTTTTGGAATCATAGTATTTTTTATCTCAAATCATATGCGAAATTTCAGAAATTCATATGAAGAAAGTACATATACATGTAAATTTTCTCCGCACTGTTTAGCAAAAGCTAATATGATCTCTCAGTGATGAAAGTAGAAGTAGAACCCAGTTCTTCAGACTTTAAGACAGTTCATTTTATTCTACTGAGGGGTGAATCTTTAAAACAACCAGAGTGGATGAATCTTCTATAGCATTCATCTCAATGCCATCCACAGAGTGAAAAGATTTTCTAGGGATTTTTTCAGAGCAATCTTCTACCCTTTAGGCTCTTTGAAGCATGTTCTCATTATAGTACCAAGTAGGGTTTATTGGGTAAATTCCACTCACTGCATAGGAGGGTGTTTTTCCAGATTCTCTTTTATTTTTTGCTTGTGCTTTGGCCCTTTTCTTTCCTTCAGCTTCTGCTTGGCTGGATGAAACAGGAAATGAAAGGGATCCATTAGGACCGAACACATGCAATGTTCCTCCACATCTCTGAACTACTAATCTATTTTCCTCCCTTAGGAAGGAATAATTTGATCCCATTATCACTGCATAGCTATGAGAAACAGCAAAACATCCTCCAGTACAGTATGATACCACGACTTCTTCATAGTTTCTGCTTAATTGGAAGAAAGATAGTAAAAGTGGGCTGGAAAATGTGCTTTCTATAAACTAGCTTTCTTGCATATGGTGAAAAAAGGAGCATTCTCCATACACAACAGAGAAATCAAAACCAGAACCATGGTGACACAATTCCTGGAGGCTGAAAGGGACCTTAACAAAAAGGATTGACTTGTACCACTGTCTCTCAGAGAGGATGAGAGGCAGGACGGCATTAACAGGATCTGACTACAACCGAGGACTCCTCTCTGGAATCCATGATCAATCTTCCACATCCTGCATACCCTCACTTTCATTTAAACTTCAAGGTATTGCTTACTTATGGCTGCTGTATCTAAAAGACAAAATGAGAGGCAGGTGTAAAAAAGCCAATGCTTTCCATACACTGATAAACCAAATAAACTTAAATGTCCTTTGTATAATGGAATTGCATGATACATACAGTTAACTGATGATATTTCAACCATAAGCGGTGTTGCCAATCAAAACAAAAAACCAAAGATTCTAAAAATAAGTCAAATACTTAATCCGGCTCAATCAAATAAAGAATTATTCTGAATTTTGAAAAAAAAAGACGTTGATTCTAATTTACTGAGAAATGCCACATCATAAAAATAACATCCATTGTAATTATTTAAGAGTTTATGATTTGTTACAGGGAAATTTGACTCCATTCAATTTCCCCATTAAGTGCTAACTTTAGATACTAATGCCCATGGAAGATCAGATGCCTATGAACTGCTAACTAAAATAGGCTCACATATGAAGCCTCAGGGGTGACAAGGCAGCTAATATTTGTACAAGATCATATTCATCAAGATGATCCAGTGCCAAAGAGGGAGCATTAGAGAAAACAAGGAATCTTGACACAAATAACTCTAGGTACTTACTCTCAGCTCTACACGGATATTCCCTGAGTATTTATTCCTGTTTTGAGTCGCAGTTTCTCCATTTATGAAACAATTTAGTTCTATTAGGTTATTTGCAAAGTCCCTCCTTCTTTGGCATTCTAAACCTCTGTACTCACAAGTAGGCGTGACACATGGAACACAAATTGCCATGCACTTTCCCATCTGGGCCACGAACAGGGTCACTTTCTCTGGTACAGTAAAGTTTGCCATTCTTTGCCAGATCTTGATATTCACTGCAGAGTTTCTAAATAATGAGAATGAGACAATTCAGATATAATTCTCTATTCCCTATAAATGTTAATTTGGTACAAACAAATTGGAAAAGAGAAATCAAGGATGAAAAACATAACACATTTAAGATTTAGAATTATCCATAAATTTTGTGATGTTTTTCTCCTCGTAATATTCATCCATTTAACAAGTGAAAATGTATTAAGTTAGATATAAATATTAATATCATTTATTTAGGACCTTTATCAATCAGTGGAAAGGATAAATAATTGCAATATAAAAAACTAAATGATGTATCACAGGCCTGAATTAAGGGTGCACTAGTACAAAAAAAGAGCACCATAAAATTTTAGAGTAGAACAAAGAGTTCTTTGAGGATGTATATGGTACCCAGAAATTCATGTGTTAAAATGTTCTCCAAGAAGAATTGCGATATGCAAAGGCATAGAGGCATGAAAGAACAACTTCTTTTGAGATGATTTAAACATCCAAGAGTATTGTGGCTATAGAATTAGTTGGGTAAGGAGAGGAAGGTTTGGGAAGTGGTCAAAAAGAAGAACCTGAAAATCAATTAAAAATCAGACCAATAAAGGTTGAAAGGAATTTGAATTTTTTTCAAAGGCAATGGGAAAATGATAAATATTTATAGCGAAGAATGACAGCCAGAGGCAGGGAGAAACAGAGTCAACAGAGATTAAAATTAGGGAAATTAATTGGATTAGAGAAGGATAAAGAAAGAATAACAAAGAGAAAGAAGGAAGCAAAGAAGGTGGGGGAGAAAGTGGGGTTAGGAAGGAGGAAGAAAGGGAAGAAGGAAGGGAGGGAGGAGAAATTTGGAAATAAATGATAAAAAATAGTTGAGGAACATGTGCACACTAAAATTAAAAGAATTTTGTTACCAAGGATTGGGGGATAGAAAGCAGTTGAGAATGAAGCCAGCCAATGAAATGGAGTTATATAGGGGAAAGTAAAAGTACAAACCACATATCAGAAAAGAATAGAGAGCTATCTAAGAAACAAGCTAGGTAAGGTTTCCGAATGAAGTAAAGTGGTCTCAATTCAAACATTTGACTCATGGAAACATCTCCTATTCTATGAAAACAACATGGAGAAAGAATCAAAACCTGAGTACTAAGGAAGATGAACATTAAAATTCAATAGAACAGACAAGATGCTAATGAATCCATTGGGAAAGCTATTAGATTACTGAGCTAAAATGACAGCAGGTGACTAGTTAAGAGATGTTTACAAAATAGAATGCAGTATGATTTAAAGGAAGAACATTGGAATTCCTCTCTGATGCTGTTGCTAAAATGGATAACACCTCCACAACACCTACTACACATTGGAAGAATACATGTCATGCATTGGATTCAGAAAATATTTTGATATGTCACCCTCATTTAGAAGTGTGAAACTGTTTTACTAATGTGACTATTTATTTCCTCCAAATAGAGCTAGAATTTATAATGCCATAATTATTCTCTTAAGTCTCATAAAACAATAATTATAAAATAGTTTTTAGTAAACTTATTAATAGTAGGGAAAATAGTAACTAATATTAAAAATGCTTACTAGAATAATACGCATGCACACACCCACACACAAAGACATAACTGGATATATCAAACTAATACTCACTTCAATTTCTCTTTTTACTTTAACTTTTCCTTCAGCCTCTCTCAGATTTTGATCTGCTTTGTTGTTTTCTTCTAAAAAACGCTGCTTGCTGGAGAAAGAAAAATACATTAGTAGAGATGCTTCAAACCTTCATAACACAGAATAGTTATTAAGTATAGATGGAAAAACAGCTAAGTTTTCCAGAATTCTAGTGTACTTTCAAATCACCTTAAATCCCCTTAAGCAATTCATTTTGCTTTTGTATTATATATGCCATTTCTTTCCACTAAATGGTTTTTGTTCTCATATCCATTTCTTCTCCCCAGTTTAAATGCTTTTTTTGTTGTTGTCCTCAGATTATTTCATTTTTTTATTAAATTATAGCTGTGTACATTAATGCAGTCCTGGGGTACAAAGTGCTAGTTTTATATACAATTTGAAATATTTTCATCAAACTGGTTAACATAGCCTTCATGGCATTTTCTTAGTTATTGTGTTAAGACA